CTCCGGGGACCGGCGGATCTGCCGGGAAGCTTCCGGCTCACTCCACGCTCCTTTGCTCCACTCCGGGCGCGTCCCTGGCCCCGGGAAACGCTGTCTCTCGGGGCGTCCGGCGGGGACCAGACTCTGAGAGCTGCTGGAGTCCGCGGTGGGGCGACAAACAGCTGAGAGGTTTTAAACCTTAGAAAGTCATTTCTCAGAGGAGGCCCTTTAAAGAGATGTCTAAGACAATCCCTCGTTTTACCCGCACACAGGGCCCCTGAGGCCCAGGAGACAAGGACTTTCCTTAAAGACACACAGTAAAATGAAATGAATCCAAATGTGAGTTAAAAGGCTATTTAACCCCGCAGTCTGCAGAGAGTGGTTAAGCAAGGAAAAGCAGAAGCAATTTTTGTTAAAGGCGTGAGAAGGGTGGGGGCAATATCAGCTCTGAATACCAGGCGAGGGGAGTGAGGACGGAGGGGGATGGAGGTGAAGGGGAAAAGCACTTAGAGCGCGGCTCCTACCAATATTTAATTTTGGTCACTTTGAGCTCAGATCGCCTTTGCAGACACCACACAGTGTTAGTATCGCTGGGCCGCACGGTCCAAGCAGCGAGTTAAACTCCGGCCAAGTAGGCACTGAGCGCTGAGCTGCTCTACAGAGATCCTCTTTCTTCGGGTTAAAAAGAAAGAGAAAGAATAAAAAAACACAAAAAACCCACAAAAAAACACAACACACAGTTAACCACCTGTCAGGGCTGAGGATACAATGAGGCTTCTCGAAAAAGAGCTTTTCATGCATGCGTAATATATTTGTTCAGCTATTCACTTAATGAAGCTGATAAATGTGATGCAAGACAATAGTCAAGTTAATCTATTTAGTAAAATGTTTTGAGACTTTCAGGCTACGTTAAGGAGAGGAGCGTTCGGCGACATTTTCATTTAAATGCGCTCATCTCTTAGGCTCCACAAGGGGGTTCAGGCAACCTATGTGAATATAATTTCTTATAAATGTGTCTTTAATGGGTTTAATTCACCCTTGCCAGCTGTTTTGGGGGCTATTTTGAAAGAGCAAAACAAACGTTTCAGGCTTGGAAAGCTAGTTAAAATTAGTTTCGGTCAGCGAGGCCAAGCTATATTTCCTGCAAACCATCTGCTTGATTGGCACAATAGAAGGATTTTCAAGGAAAAGGGGGGAGTGAGTGTGAACGACATGAGAGGTGGGGAAAGGACGCTAGATAGGGCTGGGGCGGCCGGTAGCTACTTGTGGCCTATTCTGAAGGTGAACCTCTTAGAGGGGTCTTAATAGAGCTGCTTGCCTATAGGGCTGAGGCGGTAGGAAAGGTCTTTCAGCCCAAGCCGCACCGCCCTCCTTTGCCTAGTAGCTCCCTCTTTTACCCCAGCACTGGAGAAACCAGGCGGCGGGCGCTTTTCTCCCCTTGCCTCCTGGTCGTCCTGCCAAGGCACGCTCTGTTGGCTCCCGCCGGAAGCGCCGCGGTTTGGAGGTTCAAACCCTTGCGAAGTACGACTTTGGGGGTCCCAGCCTTCCCGAACTTACTCTCTTCATCCTGTCTGAAGGCCGGGAATCTCCAGTCACTCTCTAGTTTGCAGGCCTCCGCGGCCTGCGCTTACACAGGGCCCTTCGGGCTCGACCCACACTGGGGAGGGCAGCGCAAGGGCGAGAACTGGGACCCACCCGCTCCCCACTGCCCTGGGGGAAGAAAGCCTCAGAGCGGGTTCCGAGAGTCCTTCCTGTAAGTCCCTGGGAGGCTCGGGCAGCTTTTGCCTCGTAGATTCCGGGAGCCCCGGACGCCTCCGGGGCGGCCACCCCAAGCACACTTAGCGTCCAGGACGCAGGCAAGGACCTTAACCCCACCCGGGCCTCCGATTTTCTTTTCCCTTACCGTCTTCTTTTCCCTTGAAAAATAGAAAGCTCAGCTGTGGGATGGAGGGCACGAGTGATTTCTCCGAAATAAACTTGAAGATAACGACATTACAATGAATGGCAGGACGCACAAAACCCCATGGGCTCAGGTCAAACGGCATTAGTCACAGGTCTTAGCGTCAGCCGCCGCGCGGCGCAGCCCCTGAGGCTATCGCGGAGTTTGAAAAGACGCGTTCAAGGAGATCCCTTAAAGTAAGATCCTTTCGTCCGATTTCTTGCTTCCTTAGGATTTATTTTGCCTTTTCACGAGCTGCCAGCCATCGCCCCACCCTCACTTTTCCTCATTGACGCCTTATGAGTGCTTTAGGCTGCTATGGTGACAGACCGCTGGAAGCGGGGTCCACGTGGATCGCAGCAAGGGGTTGACCCATCTTCGAAAAAATGTCAAGGCCCCCCTTTAAAAGTTAGCAGAAGCAGTCTATAGTGAGGCAGACAGGCCGATGGGGGTGAGGGCGGGGGTGGAGGGCATCAAGTGTGTCAACGAGCAGAATAGACTGTAAAAACCTACTCCCAGGGAAGTGCCCCAACAGGAAAGGAGGCCTGGGGCAGGGTTAAGATGGGGGGCGGGCTGGAAGTGGGGGCTCCAGGCACGTCCCAAACTGGCTTCGTGTTCTTACCCACCTCCCAAGCAAAACTCTAGGCTCTACCCCGATCTTCCGCAAGACAAGAGCGCTTCCTTGGTGGGAATTCAACACCTGTAGTCGCAGCACTTTTTTCCAGGAACTGGCTGGCCACTGCTCGCCACAAGGAGGGAGGAAAGAAGAGTGGGAAGGGAGTGGAGGATGAGGAAGGAAGAGGAGACGAAGACGAGGAGGAGAAGTAGAAGAATTGGGAAGAAAAAGAAAAGAGGTGGAAGTAGAGAATTTATAAAGCCGGAGCCATTCAGCTTCCAGAAAACAGCTGGGCATTGCGGCAGCGGCAGGAGGCCGGGGCGGGTGGGAGTTGGGGGTTGATTACTGTGTAAAACTTTGTCTTGTGTCAAGTTTAATGGCAGATGTTCAAATAGTTTAAACTTTTCTCACCCATTTTATTGCAAAACTTCTTAAGTTCTTCACAGTTCTCCCTCTTCTATTTCCAGGGGTCTCCAGTTAACTCGAGCAATGCATTTCCCTTATTTAAATAGCCACTTAATTAAAAGTTATTCCTTTCCATGGTGGTTTTCCGCCGCTGGACGCCCAGTACTCCTCCGTAAGCAGTCCTGTGCTCAGAAACTCCATACTTAAGTCATCATGGGGCATTAATTCGGCTCCGGCGCCCAGCCCTAAATAACTTTTTAATTTGAATCTAGGGAGAGCTTTAGCGGGCACCATTTCTGGTTTAATGTGATATAAATCGCAGATGCACTTTTATTGAATGGTTAAAGCAGCGACATGGAGATCATCAACACAAAACGCCCTGAACAAAACCATCGAAAGAAATAAAGCTGGTTAATAAGATTTTTGAGAAAGCTTTGTGTTAAAAAGCAAAAAGGAAAACCAGCTGAAGGTGACAGTTAGTTCATGGTTAATAGGATCAGGCGGCCTGGCGGGGCTGCACACTTCTCTTTAGGGAGGTTCAGCAACACTAAAGAAATGAATAGGACATTTAACACATCTGTTATCTCGCAGAGCAAAGAAACGGGGGAATCGGGTCTCAGGGCCACCTCAGCCTCGAACCAGAGGAAAGTGAAGGACGGTCCCCAGGAAGATTCTTGTTTTGAGGCCCCCCAAATGAAGGATAGGCTTTCCTGGTGATGTGGGTCAGCATTCTCGGGAATTGTGTCCTGCGCTCTGTTTTCAGGCATTTGTATGTTGCAATAATTAAGAAACTGAAAAACGTTGGCGGAGTTAAGTGGCTGGTTTTGGGTAGGGCTCTCTTAGGAGAATCCCAACCAACGCTGCTATGGCTTTAAAAGTCCAGGCTGTGAATTTCCGCTGAAACTGCCTAGAGCTCCTCGAGGTTGGAAAAGGCCCAAAGTAGCACTTAGCAGTCAGGTCGTCTTGCCTGAGGCAGCTTCCGGCTGGAATAAACCCTTAGCTAGTGGAATCCCGCTGCATTGCCCCGATGTGAAGCTCCCGTCTGCTCCTGCCCCAGGCGAGCTTCCTTGCGCTCCTTGGTGACACTCCTTGGGCAATGTTGCTGAAAATCGTTTTCCAAGTTGTTGGGAGTTTGCAGGTGACCCATTTTATTGTTCAGGTATCCACTAACTCTCTCAATTCGTTTTCTGACTTGAAATAATTTAAATCAAGACTTCCCATCCCCTACCCCTATGGATGCACATCCAGGAGCCTCAGAGCATTAATTTGAAGTCTCCCTGGGTTGTTAGGATGAGACTTCACCACCCTTCCCCCTACACACATACATTGATTTAACCCAGCCTCAGCTGGAGTAATGTACAGGGCTACAGACCAAAGAGGGAGTATATTTTCACGTTCACTGACTTGAAATTTTCCATTGCCCTCCCCACAAGGGGGAAAGGTTATTTTACTGATTGCCTGGAGGTGAATTTCTATGAATATTTATTGATTTTCCAGGCTCAGCAGGGGAGCCTCAAATAAATTTAGTGCGTTCTTTAAATAATTCCTTTTCTATGAGGCAAGATGTCATCTGAAACTTCTAAATAGGCATTTAATTAGCCCTGGTGTTGCTTCGGAACAAAAACTCCCCGCGAGAGCTTTGGGGGCACACTGTATTGCAAAGAGGCGGTCGATATGCAGAATTGATGCGCGCCAGTCTTTGTTGCCGGCCCATTGTGCGGGCCATGCTTATGAAGACTAATCCAATCATAAATTGCACCCCTGCGCCAATCAGAGCGCCCAGAGCCTTCGGCGAATGAAGCTCGAGTGGAGAACTTTGTTGAACTTCATTGTCAGAGCTGTCACTTTTCAAAGCGCTTTAACGGGCGGGCCACTATAAAACCATCACCTAGAAGGGAAGACCACGGAGGACTCGCAGAAGCCCAAGTGGGATCGTTACTTGCAGGCGTTTGCAAAACCTAAGAGAGAGGGCACCGCGGGGGCGGGAGGGGAGGGGAGCCCAAAGTATTTTTACCCTCCGGCCACCGGAAGGAGGGTTATTTCGTCCGCCCCGCTTCTAATATGATGTTCCCCGGCCTCCTCGCGCCCCCCGCAGGGTACCCCAGCCTCCTGCGTCCCACGCCCACCTTAACGCTGCCCCAGTCCTTACAGTCGGCATTTTCCGGCCATTCGAGCTTCCTGGTGGAGGATCTGATCCGCATCAGCCGGCCCCCTGCCTACCTGCCCCGCAGCGTGCCCACAGCAAGCATGTCGCCCCCTAGACAGGGGGCCCCCGCGGCACTCACCGACACCGGATCCTCGGACCTGAGCTCCTCGGGTCAGGGCAGCCGGCGGGGCGGCTCGCCGCAGACCGCCGTCTCCCCTGCCAGCGAACCCACGTTTCTGAAGTTTGGGGTGAACGCCATCCTCTCCTCAGCGCCCAGAACCGGTAAGTGAGCGCAAAATGCTGAGGGCTGGTCCAGGTGCGGAGTTCTTCTGGCCTCAGTTTCCTTTATGCACCGGATACCTAACGCATACATCCGCGCGCACACTCATGCACGATCCCCGAGGCTCACATCGCGCACTGTGAGACTTAAGTCCAGCCAATTCCCGGGAAGAAAAGCCCCCAGATTTGCCCCACCCTCAGAATGAACTTGAGTGCCAGTAGTCGGGGAGAGCGCACAGTTCTTCCGCACAGTGGAGCTGAGCGCGCACCCCTCGGTGTGTGCTTCTCTGCCCTCGCGCTTCTGGGAAGCCAAGTTTTTAAGCCCGGCACACTTATTAGTTTAGGTAGTGTTATGGATCTGCAATTCTTTTTTTTCCCGCCAGGTCCCCATCTCGTTTACTGCCTACGATGAGACTGGGGAAAGGGGGACGACTTTGAGGAGTATTTGGGGTGGGGGGAGGGGGGCGGATTTCCACAGATGAGACAATGCTAGGAAATTATTTATTTTACTCTGTTAATACGTTGTGGAAGATGCCTTTGAAACCAGCAGCAGGGTTAATCATATCATGTATTGAATATGTACAATAATCAAGTACGTAATCAAATTCTCTACTCCCTCTTTTCCTTCCTCCCTCTCTCCCAGAAACATCCCCCGCCTTGCTCCAGAGCCTGCCTCCCAAGACCTTCGCTTTTCCCTACTTTGAAGCCTCCTTCCAGCCTTTCATCAGATCTTCTTATTTCCCAGGTAGGTTTCGTCCCCCGTTCTGGGGAGCGGTACCCCAGCCCCAGCCCGTCGCTCTCTGTCCCGAAGCCGTATTTCTCCGTCCACCTATCGGGGTTACGCTCTGGTTCAGAGGTTGCAAGGCGTACAACATTCACGAATCCGTCGCGCCAATTTGATGCCCTATTTAGCACAAGCAGTGACTGCTTGACACTTTGCACCAATTCCCTGCTCTACAAATTAGCAGGAATTGTCATGGTCCCAATTTGAGGCGGTTCCCTTCCCGGCGAGGAGCTGTTGGCATCCCTTCACGCCGCCGTTTTCCCACAGAGTCGGTGCACTTGGCCACGATTCCCCACAAAGCTTTCAGCACCATGACCAATTGGTCAGCTCCTCCGCGCAGCCACCCACAGACCGGCCCTCGCCCCTCCACGCCGCCGCGAGACACCCACCAGCCGGGGCTAATTTCTCTATAAGACTCATTCAGGGCTGCGGGCTTTTCACAAGACCACATGGTGTGCCCTCTTGTGTGGGATGCCGGGGGTCGTCCAGGGGGAGGCGGACTAGGTCCTCCCACAACCCCAACCTTGTATTTCCAACCTGATTTCCCAACCTCCTCTCCTACCCTTCCTCCACCGCCTTGTCTTTCCGAAGACTTTGATATGGTAAGATAAGAAGTGGTAGGGAAGCCCATAATTGGGCCCCAGTCTAAAGGAGAACACCTTAAACAGATTCCACGAGGTTTTTTTCATCCTGGAATCCCAGTGGCGACTCAAACTATGGCTCAAAAACTCTACAATTGGTCAAGACTCAGAAGGAGACAGAGGAGCCCCTATAAAGAGAAGACAGACTGGGCTTGATCGGTGGGGGATGGGTAAACCACGACCGCACTCCCAAATATCAGCGAAAGAAACAAGCAATTGATTTTTGAAAGGGGGAGAGAGAATTCACCAGCCGCCCCCACCACCACAATTCATGCTGCTGCTGATAATGGAATTTGCTCCCTTTCTTCCTCATTTCAATGCTTTAACAAAAACAACCCGAGCTTTATAAATAGCTTTTCATGTCCATTTAATGAAAATGATTCGGCGAAGAGAAGCCTCTGCCATCAGTATTCTCCCAATGGTCTTGGCCTGCAGTTGTGTTTAGTTTGAAAGTGTAAATCTCTTTTGTCCCAGTAATATATGGCTTTCGCTGCTTGTCCTCAGTCTTTTTCTGTTAGTTCATTACTACACAATTACCATTCACGCTTCATTAGAGTCTCTGTTTCTTTTCGGATTTTTTTTCCTCCCTTAAAGCGAAACTCTCCCTCTTTTTATCATGCCAATACCCATTGGGAAGCGGTCAATGTGCTAATTAGCTGCCACTTTTCATGTATTCGGGCCGAATTCCTTACGTTTTGTGGGGGAGGGGAGGAAAGATTAATATAAAAAAGATGAATACTGATTGGATTTTTCAAAAAAAGTCGAAAGCGGATTTTCTCCTATCGAATCAGTAAAGCACCTCATTTTCATCTAAAGAATGCAAAAGCCACCAAGGTGATTAGGAGGAAACCCAGTGGCCCTAGATGAATATTTTATTTATATATATATATTTTTCCTGTTGCTGTTTTAGCTGATGTATGCTGGTTTGTTTCTCTGAGACCGTCAAGTGGAAATATAAAACAGGCTATTGTGGGGGCTGTTTTCTGTGCTTCCGTGGTTTTACCTAATCCGGGTTTGCACGGTTGAAAGGGAAAGTTATTTGGGCGGAAAGCGCCTTTCACTCTCGCAGGTTTGCAGGTTCGTGGCCTATTCTCTAGGGAGAAAAAAAGGAGAGCTTTAAAAAGATGAAGGGATCAGAGAGAAAAACTGAGGGAGGCCGCGACGGAGGGGCGCAAGCTAACCGCTGCAGCGAGACACCGCCCACTCACTCGCAGCCTCCCACCTCACCCCTCCGCAGCGTCCTCCAGCGTCGTGCCCATCCCCGGGACCTTCTCCTGGCCGCTGGCCGCCCGCGGCAAGCCTCGACGGGGCATGCTGCGTCGAGCCGTGTTCTCCGACGTGCAGCGAAAGGCGCTGGAGAAGATGTTCCAGAAGCAGAAGTACATCAGCAAGCCCGACCGCAAGAAGCTGGCGGCCAAGTTGGGCTTGAAAGACTCACAAGTGAGGGCAGTCTCCCATAGCCCCTCCCACCACGCTCTACCTTTCCGATGCAGTTGGGACGGTTCTCTGAAACCGCGCAGGTCCCATTGAACAGATGGGGAAATTAAGATCTAGAGAAGTAACGAGAGTAGGAGTCAGCTTCCTAGAGGCTCCCGAAGACAGCCTGCTCTCCCCACCCCACTCTCTTCCGGGCTCAGAGCCCACCATCCCCGCCTCAGGGCCAGATGCCAGAGGAGGGGGCAAGAGTTGCGAGGAGCAGAGGTGGGAATGAGGGTAGGGTAAGTGCTGTGACACACGTGAACTCACTTGAGGGGGCGGGGAGTGGGCAAGGGAGGGAAGACCAACCGCGCCTCCTTCCCACCCACGTGGTCCCGTCGGAGCCCCTCCCTCGCCCTCGGTGGGAAGGTCTGCGCTGACCCCTGCTGCTTCCCTCTTCTCTTCCCCTCGCCCCCCAGGTCAAAATCTGGTTCCAGAACCGACGCATGAAGTGGCGGAACTCCAAGGAGCGTGAGCTCCTGTCTAGCGGGGGCTGCCGTGAGCAGACCCTTCCCACCAAACTCAATCCGCACCCGGACCTCAGCGACGTGGGCGAGAAAGGCGCTGGCGATGAAGAGGAGGCAGACGAGGGAAGGGGTAGCCCCCGCCCCCGCCTGGCCTATCACGTGTCCCCTGACCCTCGGCACCGGCGGCACCCCAGGCTCGAAGGGCCGCTGCCCGCCTCCCCCGCGCACTCGAGCAGCCCGGGTAAACCTTCGGACTTCTCCGACTCCGAGGAGGAGGCGGGGGGCGAGGAGGAGGAAATCACCGTGTCTTAGAACCCCTCCCGCGCCCGGAGGACCGCCAGAAAAGTGCTTTTAAATTGAAGAGGTGGGATTCAATCTGCGTGTTCACTGAAAACACCGCTGCCCAGGCGCTGCCGCTGCCGCTGTGGAACCGTCATCTCGTCAAGGGCGTCCAAGCCCCTTCCCTTGCCCCAAATGGCATTTGCTTCCCCCACACCACATCCCAACAGCCCACTACACAGAAACATTACATTCAGGCCTTGGTCCCAAGCCTTATCTTTTCTACAGGGACTCCTGTCTTGATTGCAAGCTGGTTTAAACACAGCGGGGTGTTCACCCCCAAGATTGAGCTGAGCTGTGAGCCAGGCCCTACTGGTCTTTAGTAATCACAACCTTAAAAGGTAGGAAACCTTTCGTGGAGGAGGAAACCGAGTTAGAAGTCATAAAATCAAGCATGTACTTCCAGGGCCCCTGAGTTCCTAGATCCCTTTGCCTCCCTATCTTAGGCAGCAAGAGCCTCCTACTCAACTCCAGACTCTGGTAACCCTGTCTTAAGAGCAGTGCCCTCAGAAAGCTCAAGAATTTCAAAAAAGAAAAAAGATATATCTATCTGTGTCTTCTAGTCTCAGGCACAAAATAAACATTGAGTCTTTTCTGTGATATTCTAAATAATCTCTAGGCAAAGGAGTGAGTTCTCTAAAAGGTAGGAAGAGACAGTCTGTTTCTGTATGTGTGTGAAAGCTTTTTCTTTGTATTTTCTGCATCCATAGATTATGGACCAGGCACTCTACCTTGTGCTCTTTTATTATTTGTGGAGAGGTTTCATGACCTGCTCTTGAAACATTGGGCATGATGTGAACAGAGAGACCCATAAGCCTCTTTGATTTTTTTTTTTTTTACTGAATTTTGCTGTCTTTGCACAGCTCTTATGAACTGTACACTATTTTGTACACATGTTTTGTATGGATATTTTATACCAAGATTATCGAGAATGACTTATAAAGGACTGACTAGATCACCTCTTTTTTTTTGCAATGGTTTTTAAACTTTAAAAAAGTAGCTGTTAATTGCATAACTTATAAAGAAATACTTATTCTGTATTTTTACCATGTACAGATTTTTATATATGTATATATGTATCAAATGAACAAATAAATGCCAAATAAAAAGTAGAATGGATACAATGGACAAGTGATAGTGATATCATTAATTTACAGAATGTTAGAGCTAGAAGGAATGGAGCTATTCTAGTCCAGGTACTGCGGGAATTTACAGAAGGTAAGCTGATATTCAAGGGGGGAAGACACATGTCTGAAGCCACATAGCTAGTTAGTGGCCACGCTGGAACCAGAACACACCTGACTCTCAGACCAGTGGCTTTTTTTGCTTCTCTGTGTCATAAAATAACCATGTTTGCTGTGGTTACAAGTAACTCAAGTAAAGTGGTACCAACCAATTGAGTCTGCAGTAATCCTTCTCTAAGGACTGAAATGATGGACTAAAATAAATCAAGTAGTGCAAATTTGCAATAGTTTTTCTTTCCTTCCTTGAAGGCGTATTTCCTAGTCCACAGGGCAGCTCAAAGTTGGTCTTGACCTTTTGCATATGAACTGATTTTATTAGAAATGTCATTTGCAGGCATGACATAGAAGTCCAGATGCAGACTTGGGCTCCCAAGTGAAAGTAAGTTCTTTAAAGACTAACTTTCCACAGAAATGATTTACTTAACCAGCAACCTAGGAGTAAAGAACGTCACAGATTGATTTAACCAGCAACCTAGGAGGTTCGAACCCTGGCAGGAGCTCTTGTAGCTTTTGAGAAATTGGTATCTGCCACGTCAACCACACAGACCCACACTGCTTCATTATCCTAACCCACACCCCCAACAGATAAGGAAAAAAGAGTTGTTGAGCTTAAGCTTCAGTAGTTTGTTTTATATTTGAAATTTAAATATACTCTATTCTCAGTTAATTCTCCTTTTCAATAACACAAGCCCTCTCCATACTAAGGTTTTCCTCTCCTGTTCAGCCTGTTCCTGATATTGGTGATCACTGTTTTCATTATTATTTACACATGATCATGGGATTTTGAAGAAAAAAAAACTTATTGTCATAATACCTTAATTCAAGAAACCTCCCACGTTATCCCCTTGACACATATGAAAGTGCCTAATATTATATCTTGTACATGGTAGAAATACAACCTTTCAGAGAGGAAACCCTGCTCTGAATGATCGAGGCTATTTTCTCCTTCCCTGTGCTTTGGCTGGGACATCCAGAGATGGGAGCCCTACCTGACACGGCTCAGCTTTCCTTCCCTGCCAGCTCAAGCCTGTAGTTCTTACTTATACACAAGAACTATTTTTGGGCATGGAGGTGGAATGGTATTTACATCTGTAGTCAAAATACTCTGGAGCTACACCCACGTTCATAATAACATTATTCACAGTAGCCCAGAGGTTCACATTCACATCATTCACATTATTCATAATAGCTTCCACAACCCAAATGTCCACTGCTGGGTGAATGAATAAGGAAAATGTGGTATATATACACAATGTGGTAATAACACAAATATTATTCAGCCTTAAAAAGGAAAGAAATCCTGTCACATGGGCAACATGAATGAACCTTGACAATATTATGCTAAGTGAAGTAAGATAGTAATAAAAAGAAATACTATGTGAGTCCACTTACATGAGGTATCTAACACAGACCAATCAATAGAAACAGAAAATCGAATTGCGGTTGCCAAAGGCTGAGATGAAGGCGATATAGAGTTGCTATTCATTGGGTACAGAGTTTCAGTTTTACAAGATGAAAAAGTTCTGTACAGATTTGTTGTGCAAAAACACGACTATAGTTAATACTGCTGAGCTGCAAATTCAAAATGATTAAAATGGTAAATTTTTCGGGTTTTTTTTACTTCTATTTAAAACAATTTAAAAAAGTAAATTGGAAAAATAATTCACATGCTTGAACAGTTAAAAATCCTGCAATGGTCAAGATTATGGCAGGCAAGTGAAGAAATTTGAGGTAAGCAATATTATCTGAGACAATGTAGAATTCAATGTAAGAAGCATTATATGTTGTAAATAAATTTTTTTCTATATTAAATACAAATTAAGAAAACCCAGAAAGGGGAAAAAAAATGTACTCTGGAGATTTTTTCCAAAGTGTATGCTACTCCCCTATATTCACAAAGCTTTACTTCTTGAGAACTATAAATGCTGTATTTTGGCTCATTTTAGTTTCTTTTAGCTGAGCATCATAAGGGTAAAGACCATGTCCATTTTGCACATTGTTTCCCTTGTGTCATGCATAGTCCCTAACACATATTAGGTGTTTAATATGTATTGAGTGAGTAAATACATTAAAAGGAGAGACAGAGACAGCCTAGAGTCTAGGCCACAGGTCTGGAAGTTACAAATCCTTCCAATGAGTTGAAGGTTAACAGAGGCCAATAATGAACAAAAAGAGACTAAATTAACTGATTAAATGTTTTTAAAAATCCATTACTTTGTTACTTTAGCCCAAAAGACTGAAATAGTTATATCTATAAGCAGAATAATAATAAATATTAAAAAGAAATAATTTTTATTGAGTACCTATTATGTGACAGGCAGGCAATCTGTTAGGTACCTTAAATAGTGCTTCTCAAACATTAATAATTTTTAAAGAAGTTTAGTAAGATCACCTGGGGATCTCATCAAAATGCAGGTCATGGTTCAGAATTCTGGGTATATAGCATTGCTAACTATCTGTTGGTCCACAGATCACACTTTAAGTAGCAAAGATATAGCCTCTTGGCAACCCATGTAAGGTAGATATTATCCCGACATTTCAGATGCAAAAGCTGAGGATGGAATTTTGATGATTTCTCTATGGTTACCTGAGTCAGAATTCAAATTCAGGTTTATCTAACTCTAATACACTACCCTGCTCCCTTTACTAAACTGGTAAAAACCCATTTAACCAAACCCTAACCAATAGGAACTCTCTAACATTGGGGCTTTATGTTTTTTAATATTCTGAAGTTATGAGGAAAAAATATCAATGGCTATTTTAAAACTTTCTTATGCTTCTAAATCTCCCACCATACACCCAGCTCTCCTCCCTGTGATCTAAATCAGTGATCCTCAAACTGTGGTGTTAAAACCCTTTTACATTCTTAAAACTCATTGAATATCTAAAAGATTTTTTGTTTCTGGGGTTTTATGTATTGATATTTTCCGTATAAGAAATAAAGTCTGTGAAAAAATTTAAATATTCATTACCTCATTTTTAAAAACAATCCCATTAAATAGCCATATGAGTACCATATTCTATGAAAAATAAATATATATTACAAAACAAAAAAATTAGAAGAGCGGCATTGCCTTACATTCAAGAACTCTTTAATGACTGGCTTAACAGAAGACAGTTGGATTCTCTTACCTTTTCCTACATCAGTTGCAATATGAAGACAATCTGGCTTCATACAGATGCGCCACTGGAAAAGGAGGAATATTTATATAGCCTTTATAGATGATTGTGGCTCATCTTCGATACAACAGCAAAACTTGACAAGTGGTTAGTTGCAATTTGGAATCTAAAATCCTATTCACAAACTCTTCAACTCTGTTATGTATTGGTCTGTCTTGGATTTTGCACGGATAGTTTACCTATGTGTTACTTTGTGACATCATGCATTGGTCATTTGGGAAGTATTGCTTCATCAAATTATACAGATATTCAAATGCTGACACTTTTCATATATTATCAAACAACACATTTTTTAATATCACCACCCATCTCATTACAAAAGTCTTTAAGAACTGAGAACTTGTCATGCTCATGATGCTCATGGTAGCAGATACAAGTTTTCCAACATTTAAATTTTTATTGGAAAGCTCCAATTTTATTGAGACAAATGCTATCAGTTTTTTTTCAAGTGAAAGGCTCACTTCATTCACTTTCAAGAAAATGTCTATGAGATAGCCAAGTCTGAAACTACCTTTCATCTGTCAGTTATTCTTTCAAGTAAAAATGGAG